GATTTTTGCCTATGTTGTCTTCTGAGAGTTTTATGGTTTTATGACTTACATTCAGGTCTTTGATTCATTTTGAGTTTACTTTTGTGTATGGGGTTAAACAATAATCCAGTTTCATTCCCTTGCATGTAGCTGTCCAGTTTTGCCTACACCATCCTCCTAGCCTTTTAATGCTGTTACAAACCTATATTTTTTCTTGAATATTATTATACTTTAATACTGTCCTATAACCACCTTATTTTACTGTCTTAATATGTTACAGATCTATGTGGATGCCAATATATTTTTACCTACCTTATCTACTTCAAGGACTTCACTGTAGTCTGTAGTATGGATGTGATTTAATTAACCAATCCCTGGTTTGAGAGACTTTTAGGCTTTTTCCAGTTTCTGGTAATTACAAAGAAGGTAGACTCGCTGGGTCAGAGAATAGATGTCTTTTTTTAAAAATATTGAATCTGTCTTTATTTAAAATATTGATATTTTCATCACAGGTTTTTTGCACTAATTTTGATTTTGAAAATATTACTTAATTACTGTGGCTTTTGTTACTCCCTTGAATTTTACAACATAGGTGAGTGCAGCACCCTAATCCTCACTGAGCTCAGACCACCAAGTTCATTCCTATTGCATGGTCTTTGCTCACTCCCTCTTCATGGAACCCACCTTCCCCCAGTTACTCACAGGTGGCTCTTCTCTGTCCATTAGGTTTCAGCCTAAAAGACACCTCTTTAGGAAAGTGATCATTCTTTCTTAAAACAGTATGTGCACCCTGGCCCTGTTTACTCTTTATCATAGATAGCACTTTTTTCCCCTTGAAACGTTTTTTTTTCACAAAGAATAGATATCTTTTTTCATAAAATTTGACAAAATGTCATACATGAATTTATCAACTTGCATGGCTTTGAGCAGTATGATAGAGTGTTCTTTCTTCCACCACCAATTCTGGGCAGTACCAATCTTTGCTAATCTGGTGGTGAAAAGGAACTTGTTATTTTAATTTGCATTTAATCAGTAGTGGTCTGGGGTCTTTTGTTATATGCTTATTAGCCACATGTTTTTTTTTTTTTTGTGTGTGTGTAACTATAGTCGTTTCTGATGGGGTATTTATCTTTTACTAATTGAATTGTTAGAGCTATTTATAAATTAAGTTCACTAGCACCTTGTCCCATATTTTGCATGCAATTAAAACTTTTTGGTAACAGCAGAAAATGTCAAACAGTTTTACTTAATGCAGACTCTGTGATCCCCTCCATCCCCCAAATAACTCCCTGAAACTTTTGGTTATTGACACTACATTAGTTTTCTAGGGATGTCACAATAAAGTACCACAAACCTGGTGGCTTAAAACAATAGAGATTTAGTCTCTCAGTTCTAGTGGCGAGAAATAGGAAATCAAGATGTCGGCAGGGCCGCATTCCCTTGGAAATTTCTAGGGGAGGATCCTTTGCCTTTTCTAGTGCCTGGTAGCCCCAGGTGTGCCTTGGCTTGTAGACATGTCACAGTAATCTCTACCTCCAACATGTGGTGCTCTTCCTTTGCTTAAATATACAGGCCATATTGGATCAGGGCCCACCATCATGACCTCATCTTAACTTGATTACATCTGTAGAATCCATTCTAAATAAGATTACACTCACAAATACCAAGGTGTAGGACTTCAACATATCTTCAGGGAAGGCACAATTCAACCCACAAGAAACACTCATTATGAAGTATCTGCTGTTGCCAGCAAATGATAAACCCTTAAAGAACTGAACTGGATCAGTCTTGTTCCATATTCCAGTCCCCAGTACTTAGCCCATGTCTAGGATGGAGTGAGCACTCTGTAAAGATTTATTTTATTTATATATTTAAGTTATTTATTTTTATTTTGCTATCATTAATCTACAATTACATGGGTGACATTATGGTTACTAGACTCCCCCCATCATTAAGTCCCCACCACATACCCCGTTACGGTCACTGTCCATCAGCATAGTAAGATGCTGTAGAATCACTTCTGGTCTTCTCTGTGTTGTACAGCCCTCCCCATGCACCCCCCCTACATTATGTGTGCTAATTGTAATGCCCCTTTTCCTCCCTTGTCCCTCCCTTCCCACTCATCTTCCCCAGTCCCTTTCCCTTCGGTAACCGTTAGTCCATTCTTGGGTTCTGTGAGTCTGCTGCTGTTTTGTTCCTTCAGTTTTTTTCTTTGTTCTTATACTCCATGTATGAGTGAAATCATTTGGTACTTGTCTTTTTCTGCCTGGCTTATTTCACTGAGCATAATACCCTCTAGCTCCATCCATGTTGTTGCAAATGGTAGGATTTTTCTTCTTCTTATGGCTGAATAATATTCCATTGTGTATATGTACCACCTCTTTATCCATTCATCTACAGATGGACACTTAGGTTGCTTCCATTTCTTGGCTATTGTAAATAGTGCTGCGATAAACATAGGGGTGCATGCATCTTTTTCAAACTGGGCTGCTGCATTCTTAGGGTAAATTCCTAATAGTGGAATTCCTGGATCAAATGGTATTTCTCTTTTGAGTTTTTTGAGGAACCTCCATACTGCTTTCCACAATGGTTGAACTAATTTACATTCCCACCAGCAGTGTAGGAGGGTTCCCCTTTCTTCACATCCTTGCCAACATTTGTTGTTGTTTTTCTTTTGGATGGTGGCCATCCTACCTGGTGTGAGGTGATATCTCATTGTGGTTTTAATTTGCATTTCTCTGATGACTGGTGATATTAAGCATCTTTTCATGTCCCTGTTGGCCATCTGAATTTCTTCTCTGGAGAAGTGTCTGTTCAGATCCTCTGCCCATTTTTTACTTGGATTATTTGCTTTTTGTTTGTTGAGGTGCATGAGCTCTTTATATATTTTAGATGTCACTCATTTATTGGATATGTCATTTATGAAAATATTCTCCCATACTGTGGGATGTCTTTTTGTTCTATTGATGCTATCCTTTGCTGTACAGAAGCTTTTCAGCTTGATGTAGTCTCACTTGTTCATTTTTGCTTTTGTTTCTTTGCCTGGGGAGATATGTTCATGAAGAAGTCATTCATGTTTATGTCCACGAGATTTTTGCCTATGTTTTTTTTTCTAAGAGTTTTATGGTTTCATGACTTACATTCAGGTCTTTGATCCATTTTGAATTTACTTTCGTGTATGGGGTTAGACAGTGATTCAGTTTCATTCTCTTACATGTAGCTGTCCAGTTTTGCCACACCACCTGGTGATGAGGCTGTCATTTCCCCTTTGTATGTCCATGGCTTCTTTATCATATTTTAATTGACCATATATGTTTGAGTTAAAATCTGGACTCTCTATTCTTCTACTCTTGTCTGTGGGTCTGTTCTTGTGCAAGTATCAAATTGTCTTGATTACTGTGGCTTTGTAGTAGAGCTTGAAGTTGGGAAGCAAGATCACCCCTGCTTCATTCTTCCTTCTCAGGATTGCTTTGGATATTCGGGGTCTTTTGTGGTTCCATATGAATTTTAGAACTATTTGTTCCAGTTCGCTGAAGAATGCTGTTGGTATTTTGATAGGGATTGCATTGAATCTGTAGGTGGCCTTTGGCAGGATGGCCATTTCGGCAATATTAATTCTTCCTAGTCGAGAGCATGGGATGAATTTCCATTTGTTAGTGTCCTCTTTAATTTCTCTTAGGAGTGTCTTGTAATTTTCAGGTTATAGGTCTTTCACTTCCTTAGTTAGGTTTAAGGTTTATTCCTAGGTATTTTATTCTTTTTGATGCAATTGTGAATGGAATTATTTTCCTGATTTTCTCTTTCTGCTAGCTCATTGTTAGTGTATAGGAAAGCAACAGATTTCTGTGTATTACTTTTGTATCCTGCAACTTTCCTGAATTCAGATATTAGTTCTAGTAGTTTTGGAGTGGAGTCATTAGAGTTGTTTATGTACAATATCATGTCATCTGCAAATAGTGACAGTTTGACTTCTTCCTTACCATCTGGATGCCTTTTATTTCCTTGTTTAGTCTGATTGCTGTGGCTAGGACCTCCAGTACTATGTTGAATAACATTGGGAGAGTGGGCATCCCTGTCTTGTTCCCGATCTTAGGTGAAAAGCTTTCAGCTTCTCGCTGTTAAGTATGATGTTGGCTGTGGGTTTGTCGTATATGGCCTTTATTATGTTGAGTACTTGCCCTCTATACCCATTTTGTTGAGAGTTTTTATCATGAATGGATGTTGAATTTTGTCAAATGCTTTTTCAGCGTCAAGATGATCATGTGGTTTTTGTCTTTCTTTTTGTTGATGTGATGGATGATGTTGATGGATTTTCGAATGTTGTACCATCCTTGCATCCCTTAGATGAATCCCACTTGGTCATGGTGTATGATCCTCTTGATGTATTTTTGAATTTGGTTTGCTAATATTTTGTTGAGTATATTTTCATCTATGTCTTCAGGGATATAGGTCTGAAATTTTCTTTTTTGGTAGTGTCTTTGCCTGGTTCTGGTATTAGAGTGATGCTTGCTTCATAGAATGAGTTTGGAAGTATTCCCTCCTCATCAATTTTTTGGAAAACTTTAAGGAGAATGGGTATCATGTCTTCTCTAAATGTCTAATAAAATTCAGCGGTGAATCCCTCTGGTCCAGGGGTTTTGTTCTTGGGTAGTTTTTTGATTACTGGTTCAGTTTTGTTGCTGGTAATTGGTCTGTAAAGATTTCTTAAAGAATTTGAGTTTTAGGAATATCTGGCCTGTCAGACATTAAAGGATGTGTACAGAGGACACAACATGTCAAAATCTTTATTTGAATTCACAATGGACAATTTGTAATTAAAATACAAATTCAATTGGGGATAACTAGGCTGTCCAGCAGAGGGAATGTCTCAGCTCTCTGCACAGGTACTTTCGCCAAAGTGTGTGCTTTAAGTTGCCCAGCCACTTGTCCTGAAAGTGAGTCTGAGAATATGCAAACAAGTATGCAGAGTAGAAACAAATTTACGCAGAATTATTAGGTTGGATTAAACAGAAAAGACAACAGAGCCTTAAAAATCCAAATTTATTTCATTTTTTTCCTTCATATTGTAAAACATAATTGACAATTGATTTCTCAATTGTGACAAATAGAGTCTAGCTTACCAAATAAAAGCCAGAATCTGCTCCAGAAACTAAGTTATATTTTGACTCATTTCAAAAATAATTAATTTCCATTTAAATAGGACTAAGAGCCTCCAAATTATGCTGCAGAATTCCTATATCTAACTTTTCTTTTAAAAAAGTTCATCTCCTGTGAAAGATATATTTAATGAAGTTACTTTGCTAAAAGTCAAGAATTTCCTCTAGGAATTGGTAAATTTTATCTACAATGTCTCTGCTCCTCCTACTTTCACCAAGGATGGTCAGTCACCTGAGGCTAGGTCCAAAACACCTGCTTTATTTTACTTTTATTGGTCATAGTTCCAGTCCAAAAGCAACGGGCCAGTGTTTTAAGTCCTAATGTACAACCACAGAGATGAAGTATTTCAGTCTGAACAGAAGGAACATTTTGATTTGGCACTTTATCTGAACCCACATAGACATGGTCTAGATAGAAAACTGAGCACTTAGAGGCATTATTCAGATACATACAGCTGCAGGGGCTCGTGACCTGTGCAGTGACCCACACTCAGAAGGGTCTTGTGATTGGCTTAATGCTCTGCTGATGCCATCTTGAATTTCTTAATAATTTTTGAACAACAGGCTCCACATTTTCATTTTTCACTGGGCCCCTCAAATTTCATAACCAGTCCTAGATATACATAAAAGACCTGAATCATCTGACTTGTGATCTCTTACCCTAGTTCTAGAATAATTTCAAAGATAGAAAAGTTTGGGTCATGTGATGCACTAGGAATAAGGAAGGAAGAAAGCATACAGAGGTAATTTTTGTTTATCTGCAAGCCTATAGAGCTAAAATTATACCTTCATTGGAATATGGGAGAAATCAAGCCTAATGCGATAAATATAAATCAGCCTAAAGAAAGAACTTGTTCATTTGAAGAGCAAATAGGTATGCACATGTGCCAGTAAGCTAAATATAAATACAGTCCTCTGAATTCTTCTATCATTAAGATGATTATTTCAGCAATTCAAATAAAATGCAGAATCAGTGCAAGATCTGAGTTTAGCTATTCTTTATAAGAATAATGAAAACATCCTCTTCTGAATTAGAACATGTCATTCTTCCTGTTCTTATTCAAAAGGATAGTAAGGAATAGTTGGTCTGAAAGTGCCATGTTTACCCTAAATTAATACAGAGGATTATACATTCCACTGCAGGGCATGGTCCTCTGTACAGGGAGATATAGAGTGATTTTAAAAGGAAGAGGAGTTCTTCTAGCTATCTTATGAGCCAGGGGAAGGGCTCAGTAGCCAAGGAAGCAGTGTTACCTACACCTTGGAAGGTCTTTTACATGTGTAAGAAAGAAATGTGTGTGCTACACAAGTCAAACAGGCATCTATCTATTCAGAAAAGTTTTGAATGAAGTATATATTTACATCTGATTACCCTTAAACATGGACACCATTAATAGAGTTATTTCTATATAAAGTAGTAACTATAGGTGATTTTTAAATGTTTTATAAATAATAATCTTTCTCTAAGATTAAAGAACACTCCAATGAATAGCAAAATATGTAAGCAATGAAAATAGTTTTTAAAGATATTTCAATGTTTAGGAAATTGGAAGAATGTATCAAAGTTTAAAAGTCCTCTAAACTGAGAGGTGTCCAGTAGTGTTCTTCCTAACTTGAAGTACTTTTTAGATAGCATATATCTTCTTCCATTAAGAAACAAACTGTTCAGACCAGAATCTAAAATTAAGGCATTTGAAAACTACTCCATACTTTCTAGAGTGTCTCCTTTAATAATGTACTTTTTAAAAACTCCCCTAACATCTTTACAAGTAAGTACCTAAAATTCTAGTAACCCTAGAGGAGAAATTCTTTTTCAACTGCTTTTTGAGTTCTAGGGTAAAGGTGTTCTTGTAAATTTCACGACTCTGGGTAAAGAGTTGTGGGAATGTGGCAATTGAGGTAGAAGGGAGGAAAATCCAAAGACAAAACATGAGTCCCTTTAGTTACTTTGTGTTTCTGTGCTGGAGAAGGCTGTGATAATTGTCCTTCATAGTTCCCTCTGTGGGCAAGGTTGAGACAAATGGTTTCATCTCTATTTTTCCTCTTTGTAAGCTGGGAACCAGACCAGCAGAGAAAAGCCAGGGCACAGAGGTTCAGATTTTTCATTTTGTTTTTGTGTGTCTCCGTTGTACACTATTAAAGAACCATTTACGAAAGACACTGAAAAGACTAACTGGCTCTCCTTGCTTTTAGCACATCATTGGCCTCTCTGGATAGAGAGGGGGATGTTTGGAAGCATCAGTTGGGGAATGAGACAGAGATTACAATGGTCACATCTTTTTCTGAAAACAGCTTAAGCAACACAATGATAACCAAAGTTGAGAGTAAATCCAGATGCAAATAGATGCCACCAACTATTCTAAAGAATTTCTAGAAGCACTCAATAATAGGATAGTCAAAACATCAGGCACAATGAGGAAGTCATTAGTCTGTTTAAACTTAGAATGTTCTCCAACATCACTGAGGCAAATGAGTAAAAACAAACCTGCAAATAAGCCTAAAACCAAACATTCCTTAAACAGTCAGACATGCCAATATTTGTCTCCAGTGAAGATCTGGGCTAGGGAAAGAGTTCTAGCTCTTGAAGCACCAGCTTTTAGTAATGTCCGATTACATTTTAAATCCAAGTCTGATGACTGACATGCTGCTCATTTAAAGCTTTAGGACACTGGCTTTTGGATTCTAGTGCAGAGTATTAGGCTGAATGTTTCTCTCCTTGTTTGATGCCAAGAACAAGATGTAGGAACCAGTTAAACTGCACAGTCCACCCTTTGTCTCTGCAAACTTCAATCTGATCAAGAAAATACTTTTTAGCATCCTCCTCATTTTTCCCCACTGTTAGGGCATCCCGAATGTATTCAATGTCCTCTTTGCTTGTTAACTGGGGCATGCCCGTCATCAGCATCATGGAGAACAGAATGATCAGCAGGTTTGTGTGATGACGGAGGGCTAGATAAGCCTTAACGCAGACGTCCTGGATAAAGGAGAAGAAAGTGCTGTTACTGTTGTTACGTGTTACGGTAACCAAGCAGGCAGAAGCCCGCTGGCTGTATTGGTAGATATACAGCATTATCCTGTCCGGGAGAAGAAGCCAGCACAAACAGGGCGGGTCCCCTGCCTCACATGAAAATCTTGATGAGCACATGAACTATTTTAATGATCTCTGAAGCACCGTGGTGTGGGCTCGTATGTCCAGAGTGTGCTCAAAGACAGGAGCTGGTACAGGGAGTTCCAGCATGTTTCTTACTTAACCTGTTTAGTTCAGTTTCTTTCCTGGAAAATTGAGGGTGAGGGTTTCTGTAGTGTCTGAAGAGCAATGACTGACTCAGGTTTTGAGAACTGTGCTGGAATCAGTACAGTTTCTGTAGCTTAAATAAATGTTTGCCAGGAGCTAATGGGATCCAGAGGAATGATGATGTGGTGTTTGCAAAGAAGTTTTCATCTTTATTTTACAGTTTGTCCGATTCTTAGAAAACAGGGGATTTAGCTTTTTCACTGACTCTCAAAATTGTGGAAAGGACTTTGATTTTAGTACAGATTCTGCATACTGAGAGAGAGGGCTTTAAAACGTGCGATGGTGGGGGTGATGCAAGTGATTGGAGCCCGCTTAGCGAGCAATAGGTGTACTTTTGCTGACTGAATTGTCCCAAAGTACAGGAAAAGGGGCAAGTTCCCCTTTTTGCAGCATGAGATTAACCTACCCTTAATGTCACAGTTGGCAGTGATAGTGTTTGTTAAAACTCAAGTTGGTGATTACAGATAGAAATATTTCAAACAAAATACAGAGTAAAATGTTGAAAGAACACCACACCAAAGCCAAATAGGGTTTATTCCAAAAATTGCAAGGGTAATTCATCAACAACATCTTTGTTATACTTTTTCCTTCCATGAAACTTCCTATGACCTTCATAATTGGTTCCTTTTGACTCCCCAAAGGAGTCAAATGAAGGTGGAAAGTAAAGCAAGACCAGGAACAACTTCACCTTGACGGTGGAGCAAAATTACGAGGGTAGTTCATCAACACACGAAAGCCAAATAGGGTCTATTCCAAAATTGCAACTGTATTAAAATCCACTTTTGATTTTTATAAAAGTAGCAGGTAACTTAAAATGTAACTGAAATGCAATGATGGGAAGAATTATCTGAAATTACTAATCAAGATCATTCTGAATAATGAGTAGCGGAAAAAAGAAGTGAAGTGTAAAATCAGAAAAGCCAAGGTAAAATTGTTAACATTTACAAGTAACCATTTTCTCAGAACATTGAAGGGGGAAAAAAACCCTCAAATACTATTGTAATTCATATAAAAACTCTTATATACTAGTTTATAAACTTAATAAACAGAATGCTATAAATATGAGCCACTGGTTAGAAAGTACAATGAAAAGATGGATGTTGTGAATAATGGCAACAAAACTCTGTGATTCCTGGGATAAACACAGACACAAAACATGCAGAAACCATTTTCCAAAACTATAATAATTTACCCAGGCAAGTAAAAGAAAACTTGAACACGTGGAGCAGCAGAGCAGTTCCTCAGTGATAAGACTGCTTATTATAAAGATGTAAATTCTTTTCATATGAATCTATAAATATAGTGAAATTTCAATAAAAATTTCTATTGGATATTTAAACTCAGATATGGTTTTAGGTTCATCTGGGATAATTAGGCCCTGAGAGAACATTCTGAAACAGTATAGTAATGAAAAACAGTGCTGGCTGTACTATATATGAAAACATATTTTAAACTATAATATTTAAAACCACATGAAACAGTATTCTTAAAAAAGATAAGAAATTTTGTGGAACAGAATGGAAAGTTCCAAGACATAGCTAAGTACATAATAAATATATAATAAAGATGACTTCTCAAATTAGTGGGGAAAAGATCTATTATTTGATAAATGGGGCTGGTGCAGCTCGCTCATCATTGGGGGAAAATAAAATTTCCACCATTGAGATGACAAAATCAATTCCAGATGAATTAAAGATTTCTATGTAAAAAGGGCAGATAGTTAAATAATTACAGAGTGGAAAATGACTTTATGAAGATTACTTCCAAGGTGGAATCTGTAAGGACAAGATGGAGAAATTATGGAAATTTCAAACTTTTGAGGAAAGAAAAACTATATTAAAAGAGGAAGATGATAAGGGAAAACTGAGTTGCAATATGACAGATCACTTCTTCACTTCCAGCCCCCAGACCTCTTACAAATCAAAGCCAGACAGAAAATAGTCAATTAAAAATACAGGCCAAGGATATAAATGAGAATTCATACTATGAAACATAATAAACATGAAAAAATATGCAACCTCATGAATAATCAAATAAATATAATTTCAGATGAGATGGAAACATTCACCTACCAAACTGGAAAATTTTTTTAAAATTTAAGGATAATACCCAATGTTCGTCTTTCATATGCAGATGGTAAATAGGAATAGGTATAGTTTTCCTATAGCAGACAATTTGATAACATGCATCAGAAGCTTTAAGATATTTATAAATGTTACATGACTTAATTGTGGTGGTGGTTACATGACTGATGCATTTGTCAAAACTCAACTATACACCTAAAAAGGCCAAATTCTGCTGAATATGGATTATGCCTCAATGAACTTGATTTAAAAAATGTCTATGTAATTTTACCCAGCAATTTCCATGTTAGGAATTAACCTTTTAAAAAAAATCAGAGTACATTCTGATCTTCGATTATTTGCTATCCTTCTGTATGCTGGGGGACCCCAGGCAAACCCCTTCTGTCAGCCCACTGTGTGATCAAACTCTTCAATAGAAAAACTTTGAAGAGGAAAATTAACTTGGAGACAAGTTATTATAACACCAATCCATTGATGCTCAGTAAATACTTGTTATGCGGCAACACACTGATTCACCCACCATTGTTGTAGCACACGGATCCATGTTAAAGGAAGGTAATCTTCCTGTTTCTCTTGAAGGCCATCTCACCTATGGAAGGAATTTCTACTGGTTCAAATTATTCAGTTCTGATCTTCACCTGTAAGCATTGCTTCTATGAGAAAGAAACTTCATCCTCTAATTTCACCTCATGCTCCATACGGGTCAGACACAAATTCTGACTGGCTGTGCAGACTTACAGACTCAGTGTGCATTTACTTATCTTTTGCTTAAAGGCAGTTAAAAGTGCAGATTCACACTTCACTGCCTGGATTCAAATCTTGGCTTTATTACTGACAAGCTGTTTGTCATCTGAGAAGTTATTTAACCTATCTGGACCTCAGTTTCCTCATCAGTGGAATAAGAGTAATAACAATACCCATTTCCTATGGTTGTGGTGAGATTTAAGTGCTTTGTGAGTGGTTGGTTATTCTTAATAGTGTGAGAGGTTGCTTCACGGAACACACATTTCTCAATGCTGAGGAGGTTGCCTTCCCATCTAAACCACCTACCCAAAATGTCTCCTCAGACCATTAGTAAGGACTAGGTGGTGAGGGGGATTGGGGTGGGAGGTGGGTCTCACTCCAAGCAGTGTGGCAGGGGAGGTTGTCTTTGCACTGTCCGCTGAGGTGGGAAAGAAGATAGGGCACAGGGCTCTCTTGCTCTGAGGGGCACAGCTCTGCCCTCTCAAGCCCCAGCAGTTTCATTTCTGCCCTTTGTGCTCAGCCATAGTGTCTGTGAGAGAGTCCTGACCACATTTCCTGATGCAGAGGCCTGTGGTTTGAGGGCCTAGGAGGATGTGGCTGGGGCGCTCAGGGGGGAAGCACAGAACACAGAAGTTACTGGCTGTGGCAACAGAATTTTCCCTTCAGCCATGCCTGCCTGGCATTGACCTCAAACAGGCTCATTCTGTCCTCTTTTCTGTCAGTTGTAGGCTTTGTATGACTGAGTGGAAAGAAGCATGAGGGAAGAATCTGATTTCAGGAACTTGCTTTAATGTGCTTGTTGATGTGTGTGAATGTGGGGGACACTATAACACTGTTCCTGTCGTTAGCAAGAATACCATCAGTAGTGGCTAATAAATAGATTGAGTCTACATAGTATATCTGTTCTTAATTTCATAGTTGATTCACATGCCTTAATTAAAGCACCAAGTACCAAAGGAAAAGATTGGGTTTACAAAGCTACCACTCCCAGAAACCTTGGGAAGAAATGAATTCATTACCATTTCAGGGTCAAAACTTTGACTGGATTTGATATGGTCCCATTACTGATTTCTCAACTACCAGTGCTCTGTGGCTGCTTTAGACTGTCCAAGGTCATGTGGAACAGGCCTAGTTTTTCTTAAGACTAAACTCCTCCATTCTCATCTGGAAACAAAGTGGAAGTGAAATATTACTGTACATATCTACGAAAATGAGGAAGTAATCTCAGGGCCATGAAACAGAAACTCCAGGAAAAGAACCTAGGGCTGAGTGAAGGAGAGAGTGAAGAAAATCTCACAAATCATCATCGATGAAAAGAAATGGCACCCACTTACTTTTCCTAAGTAGTAATGTTGCCTCTGTTTGCTAGAGGAAGGAGACATGAGAGAAAATAGTATTTCAAAGACAGAGGATATAGTGCAGAGTATTAGGCTGAATGTTTCTCTCCTTGTTTGATGCCAAGAACAAGATGTAGGAACCAGTTAAACTGCACAGTCCACCCTTTGTCTCTGCAAACTTCAATCTGATCAAGAAAATACTTTTTAGCATCCTCCTCATTTTTCCCCACTGTTAGGGCATCCCGAATGTATTCAATGTCCTCTTTGCTTGTTAACTGGGGCATGCCCGTCATCAGCATCATGGAGAACAGAATGATCAGCAGGTTTGTGTGATGACGGAGGGCTAGATAAGCCTTAACGCAGACGTCCTGGATAAAGGAGAAGAAAGTGCTGTTACTGTTGTTACGTGTTACGGTAACCAAGCAGGCAGAAGCCCGCTGGCTGTATTGGTAGATATACAGCATTATCCTGTCCGGGAGAAGAAGCCAGCACAAACAGGGCGGGTCCCCTGCCTCACATGAAAATCTTGATGAGCACATGAACTATTTTAATGATCTCTGAAGCACCGTGGTGTGGGCTCGTATGTCCAGAGTGTGCTCAAAGACAGGAGCTGGTACAGGGAGTTCCAGCATGTTTCTTACTTAACCTGTTTAGTTCAGTTTCTTTCCTGGAAAATTGAGGGTGAGGGTTTCTGTAGTGTCTGAAGAGCAATGACTGACTCAGGTTTTGAGAACTGTGCTGGAATCAGTACAGTTTCTGTAGCTTAAATAAATGTTTGCCAGGAGCTAATGGGATCCAGAGGAATGATGATGTGGTGTTTGCAAAGAAGTTTTCATCTTTATTTTACAGTTTGTCCGATTCTTAGAAAACAGGGGATTTAGCTTTTTCACTGACTCTCAAAATTGTGGAAAGGACTTTGATTTTAGTACAGATTCTGCATACTGAGAGAGAGGGCTTTAAAACGTGCGATGGTGGGGGTGATGCAAGTGATTGGAGCCCGCTTAGCGAGCAATAGGTGTACTTTTGCTGACTGAATTGTCCCAAAGTACAGGAAAAGGGGCAAGTTCCCCTTTTTGCAGCATGAGATTAACCTACCCTTAATGTCACAGTTGGCAGTGATAGTGTTTGTTAAAACTCAAGTTGGTGATTACAGATAGAAATATTTCAAACAAAATACAGAGTAAAATGTTGAAAGAACACCACACCAAAGCCAAATAGGGTTTATTCCAAAAATTGCAAGGGTAATTCATCAACAACATCTTTGTTATACTTTTTCCTTCCATGAAACTTCCTATGACCTTCATAATTGGTTCCTTTTGACTCCCCAAAGGAGTCAAATGAAGGTGGAAAGTAAAGCAAGACCAGGAACAACTTCACCTTGACGGTGGAGCAAAATTACGAGGGTAGTTCATCAACACACGAAAGCCAAATAGGGTCTATTCCAAAATTGCAACTGTATTAAAATCCACTTTTGATTTTTATAAAAGTAGCAGGTAACTTAAAATGTAACTGAAATGCAATGATGGGAAGAATTATCTGAAATTACTAATCAAGATCATTCTGAATAATGAGTAGCGGAAAAAAGAAGTGAAGTGTAAAATCAGAAAAGCCAAGGTAAAATTGTTAACATTTACAAGTAACCATTTTCTCAGAACATTGAAGGGGGAAAAAAACCCTCAAATACTATTGTAATTCATATAAAAACTCTTATATACTAGTTTATAAACTTAATAAACAGAATGCTATAAATATGAGCCACTGGTTAGAAAGTACAATGAAAAGATGGATGTTGTGAATAATGGCAACAAAACTCTGTGATTCCTGGGATAAACACAGACACAAAACATGCAGAAACCATTTTCCAAAACTATAATAATTTACCCAGGCAAGTAAAAGAAAACTTGAACACGTGGAGCAGCAGAGCAGTTCCTCAGTGATAAGACTGCTTATTATAAAGATGTAAATTCTTTTCATATGAATCTATAAATATAGTGAAATTTCAATAAAAATTTCTATTGGATATTTAAACTCAGATATGGTTTTAGGTTCATCTGGGATAATTAGGCCCTGAGAGAACATTCTGAAACAGTATAGTAATGAAAAACAGTGCTGGCTGTACTATATATGAAAACATATTTTAAACTATAATATTTAAAACCACATGAAACAGTATTCTTAAAAAAGATAAGAAATTTTGTGGAACAGAATGGAAAGTTCCAAGACATAGCTAAGTACATAATAAATATATAATAAAGATGACTTCTCAAATTAGTGGGGAAAAGATCTATTATTTGATAAATGGGGCTGGTGCAGCTCGCTCATCATTGGGGGAAAATAAAATTTCCACCATTGAGATGACAAAATCAATTCCAGATGAATTAAAGATTTCTATGTAAAAAGGGCAGATAGTTAAATAATTACAGAGTGGAAAATGACTTTATGAAGATTACTTCCAAGGTGGAATCTGTAAGGACAAGATGGAGAAATTATGGAAATTTCAAACTTTTGAGGAAAGAAAAACTATATTAAAAGAGGAAGATGATAAGGGAAAACTGAGTTGCAATATGACAGATCACTTCTTCACTTCCAGCCCCCAGACCTCTTACAAATCAAAGCCAGACAGAAAATAGTCAATTAAAAATACAGGCCAAGGATATAAATGAGAATTCATACTATGAAACATAATAAACATGAAAAAATATGCAACCTCATGAATAATCAAATAAATATAATTTCAGATGAGATGGAAACATTCACCTACCAAACTGGAAAATTTTTTTAAAATTTAAGGATAATACCCAATGTTCGTCTTTCATATGCAGATGGTAAATAGGAATAGGTATAGTTTTCCTATAGCAGACAATTTGATAACATGCATCAGAAGCTTTAAGATATTTATAAATGTTACATGACTTAATTGTGGTGGTGGTTACATGACTGATGCATTTGTCAAAACTCAACTATACACCTAAAAAGGCCAAATTCTGCTGAATATGGATTATGCCTCAATGAACTTGATTTAAAAAATGTCTATGTAATTTTACCCAGCAATTTCCATGTTAGGAATTAACCTTTTAAAAAAAATCAGAGTACATTCTGATCTTCGATTATTTGCTATCCTTCTGTATGCTGGGGGACCCCAGGCAAACCCCTTCTGTCAGCCCACTGTGTGATCAAACTCTTCAATAGAAAAACTTTGAAGAGGAAAATTAACTTGGAGACAAGTTATTATAACACCAATCCATTGATGCTCAGTAAATACTTGTTATGCGGCAACACACTGATTCACCCACCATTGTTGTAGCACACGGATCCATGTTAAAGGAAGGTAATCTTCCTGTTTCTCTTGAAGGCCATCTCACCTATGGAAGGAATTTCTACTGGTTCAAATTATTCAGTTCTGATCTTCACCTGTAAGCATTGCTTCTATGAGAAAGAAACTTCATCCTCTAATTTCACCTCATGCTCCATACGGGTCAGACACAAATTCTGACTGGCTGTGCAGACTTACAGACTCAGTGTGCATTTACTTATCTTTTGCTTAAAGGCAGTTAAAAGTGCAGATTCACACTTCACTGCCTGGATTCAAATCTTGGCTTTATTACTGACAAGCTGTTTGTCATCTGAGAAGTTATTTAACCTATCTGGACCTCAGTTTCCTCATCAGTGGAATAAGAGTAATAACAATACCCATTTCCTATGGTTGTGGTGAGATTTAAGTGCTTTGTGAGTGGTTGGTTATTCTTAATAGTGTGAGAGGTTGCTTCACGGAACACACATTTCTCAATGCTGAGGAGGTTGCCTTCCCATCTAAACCACCTACCCAAAATGTCTCCTCAGACCATTAGTAAGGACTAGGTGGTGAGGGGGATTGGGGTGGGAGGTGGGTCTCACTCCAAGCAGTGTGGCAGGGGAGGTTGTCTTTGCACTGTCCGCTGAGGTGGGAAAGAAGATAGGGCACAGGGCTCTCTTGCTCTGAGGGGCACAGCTCTGCCCTCTCAAGCCCCAGCAGTTTCATTTCTGCCCTTTGTGCTCAGCCATAGTGTCTGTGAGAGAGTCCTGACCACATTTCCTGATGCAGAGGCCTGTGGTTTGAGGGCCTAGGAGGATGTGGCTGGGGCGCTCAGGGGGGAAGCACAGAACACAGAAGTTACTGGCTGTGGCAACAGAATTTTCCCTTCAGCCATGCCTGCCTGGCATTGACCTCAAACAGGCTCATTCTGTCCTCTTTTCTGTCAGTTGTAGGCTTTGTATGACTGAGTGGAAAGAAGCATGAGGGAAGAATCTGATTTCAGGAACTTGCTTTAATGTGCTTGTTGATGTGTGTGAATGTGGGGGACACTATAACACTGTTCCTGTCGTTAGCAAGAATACCATCAGTAGTGGCTAATAAATAGATTGAGTCTACATAGTATATCTGTTCTTAATTTCATAGTTGATTCACATGCCTTAATTAAAGCACCAAGTACCAAAGGAAAAGATTGGGTTTACAAAGCTACCACTCCCAGAAACCTTGGGAAGAAATGAATTCATTACCATTTCAGGGTCAAAACTTTGACTGGATTTGATATGGTCCCATTACTGATTTCTCAACTACCAGTGCTCTGTGGCTGCTTTAGACTGTCCAAGGTCATGTGGAACAGGCCTAGTTTTTCTTAAGACTAAACTCCTCCATTCTCATCTGGAAACAAAGTGGAAGTGAAATATTACTGTACATATCTACGAAAATGAGGAAGTAATCTCAGGGCCATGAAACAGAAACTCCAGGAAAAGAACCTAGGGCTGAGTGAAGGAGAGAGTGAAGAAAATCTCACAAATCATCATCGATGAAAAGAAATGGCACCCACTTACTTTTCCTAAGTAGTAATGTTGCCTCTGTTTGCTAGAGGAAGGAGACATGAGAGAAAATAGTATTTCAAAGACAGAGGATTTTATTTTGTGTTTATAAAAATCAATATATTCACTAGGCAATGTCTTCAGAAGTTATTTTGGCAAAAGAGAAGATCATTTCACTAGGTAGCAGTAATAATAGTGCAGGAGGAAGCACTTTCTGGTTAATTTGAAA